TTTTTTTTTTTTTTTTTTTTTTTTTTAATAAATGCTTCAGTCTATTCGTGGGGAGCAGCACATGCTGGGAACCGGGCCCAGCGTCCCATATCGAATTATACAGATCATTGAGAAAATTGGAGGTCTTTTGAGGAAATTTGATATACCTGGGCCATTACCCGGCTTCGGCTGAGAACAAACTGTGAAACAGAGTCCTACGAATGCTCACTACTCTCAGGTTCCCTGACAAAACCTTCTAAGACTTCCCAACACCGTCTTACTCCCTGCTGAGTTCTTCCAGGCCTCACGCCCCCACCCTGCTGGGTTACAGGGCAACACAACTCGCCCCAGCTCCGACCAGCGTCATCCAGCAGTAACCCTTGGTCGTCCCTTGGGATGCCCACCCCCAAGCATCCCCAGATCTCTCTACCAGGCCTCACGCTCCTGCATCAGCAGGTTACAGGGCAACACCCCAGCACCGGCCAGCGTCGTTCTGGCATCGAACGACCACAGATCATTGAGTATAACAGCATCAAAACTGCCTAAGATGGGTTGCTAAGAAACCCTAAAGTCCTAAGACATTCATAAGAACAACTGACTTTTTTTCCATTCAGACTCTACCAAGTCAAAAGAATATGTGTGTCAATAAGCCTCCCCATCACGAATCAGATAGGTAAAACCTATTCAATCCCCCTACGACCAACACCAGCATGGTTAATTTTAGCACGAACTGAAGCTCTTCCAGTCCTCATGCTCCCATCAGGTTAGGTTACAGAGTTGCACCACCTTGCTCCAGCGCCGGCCAGCGTTGCTCCAGTTACGACCCCTGATGACCACTGGGACTGCTCCCGCAAACAGCCCCCCAGAGCTCTCTACCAGGCCTCACGCCCCCACTAAAAATCCTGAAAACGGAAAAGTCTTAGAGTGAATTTTGCATAAAAACACATTTTTGCCGTGCCGTTCTATAGGTTTTTAATTTTTATTTTTTCAATTTTTTTTTTAAAGTAGTTAGTATGCTGTCCACTCTATGAATTGGTGCCGTTTTACAACTACTACTACTACTACTACTACTACTACTACTACTATGCCCTACATGTGTAGGAGTTTGACTGTTTTGGGTAGCCCTGAAAAATCCTGAAAATCCTGAAAACTGAAAAGAGTGAATTTTGCATAAAAACACATTTTTTCCGTGCCCTTTTATAGGTTTAAGTTTTTTTTTTCATTTTTTTTTCGTAAGTATTTAGTATGCTCTCTATGAATTGGTGCCGTTTTACAACTACCACTATTACTACTACTACTACTATGCCCTACATGTGACACCATACCTGGCAGTCGTTGATTCTGAAGTAACCTGAAAAGGACATCCATCATGTTCCATGGCCATTGGTGATGATATCTACTTCTTGGCAGTTCGTGCAGACTCTGCAGAGATTTGCAAACTTCTGCAAACTTCTCAGTAAAATAGCACAGGCCTTTGCAACTGAGTACAGTCTTTTATTCAATCGCCCGTGACTTTGTCTGTGTTTGCTTCCCACAGACACAGCTGTTAGGGCAGCAGCAAAGGCCTGGCAGCCTGGCAGCCTGGCACGCAGATATAAAACACACATTCAATTATTCCAATATCAATTCTGTCAATTAACATGGAGGCAGCGCAATTGAACCTTGAGGCCAAGCCTCCAAGCGGCTAAGGTTGAACAAAGCAGCAACCTACTAACGAGTTGTAACTGGTAACCCAAATAGAAGACACGGTCATTATCGTTTTATCTAGACTGAAAGCCGGCCCTAATACAGCTCTAATGACCGTGCATTTTATTCAGGTGAATCTAGACTGAAATCATGCCGTGGGACATGTGCCGCTGTGCCACACAAGTGACACAACCTCCCCACTGATACAAGATGGAACCATCAACTTTTTTTACTTCTTCTTTTTTTTCCTTGTAAAGAAGGCAGATCATAGACCCATCGACGTCACCATCATCAATGGGTTGATAGACACAGCAGCTTCCCTCAAGATAGGAGCACTGCAGATATGATGGAGAGCTGTTGATGGAATTCTCTTGTTTCCCTCTTCTTCTTCTTTTTTGGGCTCCTTTCCGCTCCGGAAAAAGGTTTAGAAAGAAAACAGAATTATTTCCATGTATATAAAGTTATTTGCATGATGGAGCCATGGGGCCTCGCCGCACCACTCGCCAAAAGCCAACATTTTGAATGTATAAGGACACATTTCTTGTCCAGATGCATTCAAAATGTTGGCGTTTGGTGAGCGGGGCAGTGAGCCCCATGATCCTGGCTAACAGTGTCATCGAAGTCGCCACCTGCCCAATGATATTACACAGGCAGTAAGTTAACCTGGAATGGGAGAAATGACCACTGCTGATCTGATGGCGGCAGCAGCGTTGACGGCAAAATGCCGAAGTAGAGTACCCTCACCGCAACTGGCATGGCCTCATGTAGTCAGCAATCCGTTCCCCCCCTACCCC